CTTAAAACAACTCATCAAAATCTTCAAACAGATTACCATAATCTTAAAACAACTCATCAAAATCTTCAAACAGATCACCAAAATTTTGATCAAAATTTTGAAAAAAATTATCAAGAATCAAAGGCATTATTAAATTTAAAAGATAAAGAAATTGATCATTTGAAAAAAGCCAATGAAAAATTAAAGAAAGAGGCTATCAAATATCAATCAGCTTTGGGTGATGCAACAAGTTTTCAACTAGGAAGTCAAGATTCCAATAGTGCTGGTCAATTATCAAAAGACATACGCAATTTACATAAAAATTTAGATAAATTTTGTGGGTTGAAAAAAGGTATTGAAATTAATGAGTCGGAAGTAAAAGAATTATTGAAAAAATTTGGTTGTTCAATCACCGATAAGATACGTAATAGTAAAAACGTGATTTCTGGCGCATTAGAGCGTCACGTGATCGAGTACATCATTGAAAAAACCAAAAATTACCTCGAAAAGAATGACAATGATGACAAAAATGATGACAAAAATGATGACGGGAAATACAACAAAAAGGATGACGAAAAACACAAGGAAAATGATGATAAAAAATGCAACAAAAATAATAGCGAAAAGGATGCCGAAAAGGATTACGAAACACAGCAACAAAGTTTGGAAAGTTTGGAAATCGAAATAGTCGAGACAACAGAACAACTATTGAAATTGACACATTCAATTTCAATAAATCGCAATGGAACTGATGAAGTTAGCAAAGCTACTTCAACAAAATTACGTCAACAAATTTATGGTGTCCTTGGAAATCGTGGATTTTCCAATATTATTGTAGACAAAGAAAACAAAAAACATCCATTGATTGCAACGTTACAAAAAGATATTTTAAATTTAATGAATCGTTATCGTACAATTAAAAATCCAGAAAAGTTGTCAGAAATTGAAAGCATGATTGATGAAATTGTTAGGCAAGTTGTTAGTATATTTTTTTTCAGATTAAAAGTACAAGAGCCTGTTGCCGATTGGAAATTTTTTGAAAATAAAACAAGCATCAATACTATTGTGATGGAAGCACCTTGGGATGAAAATGAGCTTGAAGATTTACATGTTGATATTTGTGCATTTCCAATAATTGGATCTAATCTTTGTGAAGCTGACAAAGTTGATGAAAATTTGAAAGTAATCTTTCCAGCACAAGTTATCACAAATAATCCTACTAGAAGTCATTAGTAGCCTTTATTGTTATTGTGTGCGATTACTTTTTTATTGTAATATTAGATATATCCTAACAATTTTTTTTTAACTTGTCTTAATGAAAAATTTAACGTGTTTTCTTTTTTTAGGAAAGTAAAGAAATTTTTCGAGGCCAAAATTTTTTTTCATTTATTATTATGATTAAAAACTGAAATAGATATTGATTGAAATCATATTTGCATAGCCTTATTATAATCAAAATGTTCGTGATCTAGTCTTCTACCCCTAGTCTTCTATCCCTAATAACATCAACATCATATTAATTTATTATATAAATATCTTGATTGGTTTTGTTGAGAAAACCTGTCATGCTTGGCAATGGATTAAATAAATTATATCTAATAATTGAGAATACATTTTAATAAAATATCTATTGATGTTGTTTTGTAATTAGCATCAATGATATGCCTATAACTGTATAATTCTTCACGAGGATATTAGGTTCATCATAATATTGATCGGAATTTCAGCAAATGCATTAGTTTTAATATGTATTTTGTTTTTTTTTTCACTATCATAAATTAACCATTTAAACCAATGTTGGCATTTGGCCATTTGACCGGCCAAAAAAAAAAACCAAGATGGCCAAAACGGCCAAGACTTTCTCAATTTTTATATAAAACTTTCACATGATTTTACATATATTTATTGGCCAAAATGGGAACGGTCAAACGGCTAAATGCCAACACTAATTTAAATCATTTGAATATTGAATATTGACGGTATTTCATATATCGGATGCCTTCTTCCATTGCATTTTATTGTTAAACCTATAAAAAATATTAATTACCATTAATACTTGCATTAATTACATCAATTAAATTTTTAATGGCGTTAAGCGTTTATAACTTAATTACCCGAAGATTCTGAAATAAGAAAAATTTTTGCTATGTAACAAATAAAAAGTTGTTTCTTATATATAATAGGCCTGAATATTATTAATATATCAATAATAATAAAATAATGGTCCTTATTAATTTAGTAATGATTGTTTTGTATTTTTTGTAATTTTTGATAAAAAATTATATTTCGTTATTATGGAATTGCATGATTTTATTGAGTTCGAACCTGCTAGCGAGGATATACGTTTAGTTATCGGAGTAGGTGAGCATATAAACTTAAAAGATATCTTACAGAAATTTTTTTCTAATAAGACAGTCTTTTTTTTACGATACTTTAAATCCAGATTTTGGCACAACATTTTCGGTAAACTTATTCTTAATTGCCACATGCTGTTTTATTCGCCATTAATTAACTGACACCTTGTCTCTTTCCTTTATTAGGGGTTTTCTTACGCTTACATTAAACCAGAGAAGGCGAAAATAGAAATTGTTGTGAATCAAGAATGGGGCCATTTCAAAAGCCCTGATAAAACCAATACAGTATTACAATACGACGAAAGCTATAAAGAAGTTTCCACTTGGGGAGCTGATGCATTAAGCTCTGAGCCTAGTAGAAGAAAAAGACAAAGCAATAAATCTTTACCAAGACCGGTGGAACATTTCAAATTTTATTTAGGAAATGTTCCAGAAAGCAAAAAACCCAAATTACCTCCTGGAATTACTTTTGATAAAGCAATAACGGACTATCTTCGTGAAATGGGTAATCAATCACGTTTTATTTAATAATCATAAAAAATTGTTTTTCAAATTAACGAACGAAATCATTTTTTTAGGAAAGGTATGATAAAAATACTTTGTATTTTCAGTTTATGAAAACTAGACATTGTTAAAATTTATTGTAAATTTTAGTTTATATTTGAATTTTTTTTTTTTTATGATATGGTAGACAATCAAAGCGAACACAAAAAAACATTGGTATGGAATTGATTTTTACAATCAGGTGCGACTTGTTTTCACAATACCTGCTGGTAACTAGTTATTATATTTATAAACACACACGCACATATATACAAATATTCTAACTATTTTAAAAATCATCATTTTAGAATTCACTGAGGATACCAAGACAATTATGAGAAAATGTATATACAATGCTGGCCTGATTAAATCTATAGGCACATTAAATCTTCAATTTACTACTGAACGTAAGAAAGCATTTTCAAGCCATTATGACATGATTGATTTTCATCTAATATAATTGGTCTAAATTTTAGCGGAAGCTGCTGCAATTCATTGTATAAATGCATTAAAAGATCTCAAATTAGTAACAGGAGGTATATATAATAATGCTTTTTGGCTCACTTTATTTACCTTATAATTTACTAAATAGCATTGTCACTGTGTGATTTAACTTAGTAACATACTTGGTTGTTGATTGTGGTGGAGGAACTGTGGACTTAACAGTTAGAAAATTATTACCAAATGAACAAATAGCAGAAATGACTGAGCGTTCAGGAGATTTTTGTGGAGGTACTTATGTTGATGATGAGTTTTTAAAATTCCTTGAAAGTAGAGTAGGTAAATCTGCAATGAACATGTTAAAGGAGAAACATTATGGTCAGGTTAATTATTTAATACATAAATATTTTTGTCCTGATATTAAAATTCTATTCACTGGTGAAAAATCCAAATTCAAAACCATTGAATTGGACATTGAGAAAAAATGTCCAGCACTTAAGCAATATGTCACTGGGTCAGAAAGAGATCAATTATCAGATGAGGATGAATGGGTCATTGATCTTGATTTTGATACTGTGAAATCATTTTTTGATCCAGTAATCAATAAGATTTTGAGATTGATTGAGAAACAGTTGTCAAAATGTTCAGACTGTTCAATGATGTTTTTGGTTGGAGGATTCAGTGAATCAAAATATCTTCAATCTAGTATTAAACAAAAATTTGGAGATAAATTGGATATATTAAGTATGTTGGTTGGCTGACTCACTTTTTTTTAAAATAAAAAAGAAAAACTAATCAATAAATATTTTGTTTATAGTTCCACCCAATCCAATTACTGCAATAGTAAAGGGTGCATGTGAATATGGACTTGATATGAAGATTATAAGCACAAGAGTATTATTATGGTCATATGGAATTAAAGTTGGTCGTAAATGGGTAAGCATATCAACCAAAACTAAACAGCAATATATTATTCAAAATAACAAAACTTTTTTTTTTAACATTAGCAAATTGGTGATCCACTGTCTCGTAAAATGATAAATGGTCGGATCCACAGGTTTTATTTGATGGCCAGAAAAGGAACAGAGGTGGATGTAGACAGAATATTTTCCCAGAGATTAGCTCCACATCACCCAAATCAAACCAATGTAATGCTTGACTTTTATTATACTGCCAAACATGATGCAACATACTGTGATGAACCTGAGATGAAAGAATTGGGTCGTTTCTATGTTGATTTGCCTGACACTCATTTAGGACTGAATCGTTCTGTACTATTGACATTACATTTTGGATCTATGGAAATTGTTGCAACAGCAAAGAATGAAACTAATGGTAAAATTTATCGCACAACATTTAAAAAAATTAGATAATTATATTATTCCATGTCTGAAGCATAATATTTACTACCATTTATATTAAAATTTGTTCATGTAGCAAAAGCTAATTTTTATTATATTATTTAATTGTACATGTATCTTTGTATTAAAATAAATAATTGTTTAGTCACTATCTATAATTTATCATATTTTGTCTGTTTTCATCTAGAAAAAAAAACATATGCATTTTTTTGTTGGTTTTCTAATTAATGTTATTCATTATATGGATAAAAAAAAATCATTTCAACTAACCAATAATGACCTCCACATTAATAAGGCAGCTGAAATATTAGATTTAAGTTTAATTAGTAAAAAACGAGGGAAATTTCGTATCGGATGATCGGCAAAAAAATCTAAAATTTTACTTTATGATCTTTCACAAGAAAATAGTACTATGTTTTTGTGCCTCAAATTTATATCCCTTTATTTTATAAGATGTAATGAACATCAAAGCATATATTGATACATTTTTTTTGATTTTTAATCAGAAAACAAAAAACTTTATTTTGTAGCACCTGTAGATTTTTCGTCTATATATATGAAATTTCCTTCACAAATTATTATAGAAATGATCAACATTTCACTCATTCATAGACGGATCATCATCAATTAATATTTTAAACAAAGCTATTGCACTTACAGCCGACAATGAACTAGTGATGGTAGTGTGTAGAAAGGAGCAAGTAAATTGGTTGATCATGCAAGAGAGTTGATAGAATTCAATGAAATTATTGTGTCAAGTAAAGCAAATAAAGTTATCTCAAACCAGTTTTTAGATATTGACACTAGGTGGGACTCTATGTTCTACATGTTGAAAGGTATAAGAGAACTTGAGCCTATTCTAGTGTTGTTGACTGTCCTCTGAAAATGTTCTTAAATTCTCTAAATATGCTTAAAATATATTTCAATAATGAATATATTTTATGTAACATTTTCAAATGTGCCAAATTATATCATATTGAAATAAATAAATATGTTTCAAGTATTAAGTACTCTTAAATCCATTAGTATATTTTAGGTACATTTTTGAGCACCTAAATAAATAGTAAAAACTCTATGCTGATGAAATGATTAGATAGTTGTTAAGGTAATAATTAAATAGGTCAATGGAAAAATTATTAAATGCTTTCAAATAAATATGAGACTACTTAAACCATTGAAAACAGCTATCAAACATCTGTCTGCATCACCATATTCAATATTGAATGATTATTGAATACAGATTCATTTAGAAGAATGCATTATGAATTATAGAATATATGAAGGATTTCAATATTATAGAAATTTTGAAGTTTAAATGTATTTAAGAAATTATTCTTCTATACACACACTACCACTACATCAAATATTAATATGTAAATATTTTGAAGACAAAGCATATTTTAGGACTGGTATACTTGCTGCTCAAATTCAAAAACCCATGTCCCAATCTGTTATTTATTATTATTATTATAAACGTTCTTTATTTGATATAGCCAATTGGAGTAATACGAGTTAATAACATAATAACATATAACTAATCAAAATATATAAGTACCTGAACTTAATGTACTTTCAAAACAATTCTGAAAACAATAATTATCACTCAAATAAGTCAATAAGATGCCTATTCAATTGATCCACATATCTGTATAAAACAACTTTGTTTGTTATCGATCACCTTTTTTTTTTTTTAAAAAAAGAATTATTTGTTGAAGAAAATTTTAGCAACTAAATTATAGATGACCATTGTAGTAATTGAATATTATCAAACCTCCTGTTAGCACATTGTTCCTCTAAGAGAGAGACATATATACATGGTTTAAATAACTCTTGCACCCTTAATTTGCAGTGTTAGAATTGAACATCTGGACCTATTCCAATTGGATAAATTAGTCAATTGGGATTGGACCTGGTCCAATTCATTCAATTGGATATAGTCCAACATTAATTGTTGGTGGTTTTAGAAAATTTCTTTTTAATCTTTTTATCTTTTTAAAAGAGCTAGTAAATTTAATCATTATGCACTTTGTGGTTTTTGTAAAACAAATTAACAATACTAAAAAATTGGTAACTTTCATTTAAAAATTGTACAATCTTGAATGAGAGGGAATTCTTTTTTGTGATGATGAGAATAATCAATATGATGATGATAATTTTTAGCAATCTCTTTTATTGATATAAATATAATTGTCAAGCAAAATAAAACTTGCAATTTACATTTTGAGATCTTGAACTTGATTCTTCATCTTCTATATTCACCAGTATCTTCAATTTTATCAAATACATCATCAGCCTTGTAGAAAAATCAGATAATAAAAAAGAAAAGTAATTATTTTGCTTGCCCTGTTCCTCTTTCTGAACAAGATAAAACATATTTGGAGAAACTTGTATTGAATTCTACTGTAGATGGTGGTTGGTCACTCAGATGGATTGACAAAAAAACAAGTAAAATATTAGCTGGTCATAGTTAATATTTTGAGTTGGGGTTAATATATTAATATAATATTATTAAAATTTACAATTGATTCAACAAAATATAAAAGATAACAACATATTACTATGTCCAATTGGACAAAACTTCCAACACTGCTTAATTGATAACACTATAACAAAAAATTTGATCATGATATAAAAAGAATAAATAATAACATTTACAAATGAGAGTTTATCTTCCATCACAGATAGCCTTCTCCTGTTTTTCTTTCTCATCAATAATAACAATATTCATTGTTATTATTAATACTGTTGTTGTTGTCATTATTATTATTAACATTCATATTTATTTTTATTTCGTAATGATTAAAATTAAAATGCTTACCAGCTAGTTAGTTCTAAACCACCACCTAATAATAAATGTGATTATTGTGATCAAAGGGGTTGAACAAGAAAGGATACGTTAATATGTGATCATTCTTATCATTGTAAATGTTTGGAATTTTATAAAAAGGTTGTCTCGAATGTAAAATCTTATAGATAATGGTTAATGATAATTTGTTACTTGATGAAATGAAGATGACGAATCAGAAATGTCTTTGTATTGATAAGTAATTGGCAAAGTTTTCAATAAACATATTACTGTATTATTATTATAAAACAAGAATTCACTGTCTTACACCGATCATTAAAGCTTGAAATATAGTTATATAATCCTTTGAAAGCAACTTGGTCATTTGATCATGCTACATAACTTTGAAAAAGTATGAAGAAGGCATCCAATATAATGAAATAACATCATCATTTTCAAGTCAATATTCAAATGATTTAAATAATAAATCATTTAAACGGTTAAATGATTAATGAAAAAAAGCAATGTTCTGCCAAATACTATATAGAAATTCTGATATTATTATGGAAATTTGGATGCGCGCATAAAAACTTGTTTATTACTATGTGACAAATAAAAGGATGTAGCTTCTTGTTGTTAAGTTATATTCTTAAGGGTGTAGTCTTTTAATCTCTGCTGGACTCTTCGTGTATTGTCTGTTAACTGCTAGAGTTTATTATTGTTTGTGTAGCAACTTCTAACAACCGTTTATGAGTCTACTTTTTAGGAAATTGCATGAATACTAAACAATCGCTGGAATACTCAAAATGAACTTCTGCCGATGAATTAAATGATCACGAAAAGTAATAAAATATGTAAAAAGCATTATTTTTGCATCTATCAGAATCTGTAGTTTGGTTTCTTATTTTTTTCCCCAATTCATGTTTATCAATGATATGTGTGGCTGATCATTGAAATTTATTGCATAAAAAAGTTGATCAAAATAATGGTTTTACTATATATATAAATCACAGAGCAATCACAGCAATCTAAAACCGCATTTTCTCAAAATAACAAAATATGTAATTTTTTATGTACTTATTATTATGGTCATATATACTTTTATTATACAACGAATAAAATCAAAAAATAAATATCAAAATTTATAATTTTTAAATCATCTCTGAATTTAACACCAATAAAAACTTCAATAAAATGAATCATTCAAGCATCTAATTTTTATAGAATACAATATCTCCTTCATCCTCGATAAATCTACATTGTGAATGGCTTCTCCAAAGAGCCTTGAACATTGGCGTGTCATCAAACATATAATATGGACCAAGAACCTTTTTAATATGTTCAGTTGCTTCTTCTGCATGATAATGAGGCATTTGGCTAAAGAAATGATGTGCTACATGTGTTGACGTGATTCGATGAAATATTGAATCAAGAAATCCAAAATGACGATCAACTTTATAAAAGTGTTTTTTGTGTAAATAGAGATTTTAATAATAATAATAATAATCAATATTAATATTAATTGTTATTATTTATTACCTGTACAAATAGCACCACGAACAAAGTTCCATTTTCCATCACGATAATGAGGCAATTTTGGATCAGTGTGCTGTAGAAAAGTGATCATAACTAACCAATGATTGACCACCAAATAAGGAATTAGGTAATATTTAACAACTGCCAGTAACGAAAATTTGTAAATCGAGTATCCAATAATACTAAAAATTCCAATCATTCCAATATCTGAAATAATGACATCACCATAATGTTTAGGGTCAAATATTGGAGAAGTGGGGTCAAAATGATTTGTCCAAAGTTTATCATAAATTTCACTGCCAGAGTAATTTAATGACAAGTAGAGTGGAAATCCAAAAAGTTGTTGTCCAATTAAATTCAATAAAATAAAAATTGGGGTGTCTTCAAAAACAGAATGGTTCCCTTTTTGTGGCGAGGAATTGTTTTTGTCATTGATATCATCCATTGCATCTTTAGCAACATAAGATTGAGGAATTCCACGTCTTGATCTAGTTTTTGGTACAAACACTTGATCTTTTGTTATGTGACCAGTGTGTTTATGGTGTTTTGAATGAGAAATTCTCCAAGAATGATACGGAACCAACAAAGCAGAATGAAATATAAAGCCAACAATGTTATTTATTTTTTTTGAGGGTGAAAATGATTGATGACCACACTCATGTCCTATGACCCATATACCAGTAGCAAAGGCTCCGCACCAAAACCAGTAAAATGACCAAGCCAAAACCCTTAAAGGTAATGAAGCAATATATTTGTCTATAAAAGTAGCTCCATAAGCAAGTATCATTATTGCAATGAGATCTTTCGCTAGATAACTCATTGATTTTAAAGTGCTTCTTTGAAAACAGTGAGGAGGTATCACATCACGAAGTTCTTTGATGGTGATATTTGGTGGCACATAATTTCTTTCGTATTTATTATCAATTTCATTTTGTTGCAATGGTTGACGATATTTTAATTCAGGGTCAAGTGGTGGCGACATTATAATTATTTTTTTAATTTTTTAAAAGATAAAAAAAATAAACAGAAAGGTTTTTTTTTATCATCGTTATTTATGTATATATATATATATTCATATACAATAATATATGTAACCTCGAGATTAAATCAAAATTCATTTGTAATACATCAAAAATCCAAATTCAAAAAAATTTTTCTTTGAAAAAAAAAATCCAATTTTTGGGGAATAAAAAAACAAATCTTCGTCTAACTATAAAATTGATAGTCACATGTCAATTTTTTTAGTCAGATTTTTTAAATGGTTTTTGATTTATGATTTTAGGAGTTTGTGTATAACAATGATAAGTTGTTTTTCAAAATCCTTATGAACTGTATTGCGGTTAGAACATATAATGATATTTCATGGTAATCAGGAACAGTAGTAGTTTAAAAAATTGGCTGTTGTAAACTAGTAATGTTAATTTGTTTCAGTCGAGCATAATCAAACCGAGTTTAAACACACATTTGATTTAATATCCGCTCGAAATGCGCTTCCATAAATAGTTTGATTTATTAGCAGAGTATGTTTAAAGCATGTGCTCAAGAATGTTTATTATTAATAGTGTTACGACCCGTTAAGGCCTTATACGGCAGTAACGGATTAACGTTAAGAAATTTTGCATAATAATAATAATAATAATAATAATAACAACAGGTTGTTAACGGATTACGATTAGCTTATTATTATTAAAAATAATATTTTCATTTTCTGATGTTTCGTTTTCCCAATTCAAAGATTTAATAGGCCAAGCAAAGGACTCTAGGTCAGTCCACTATAAGATTTTTGAAAATAATAGAATATCCGAATATGATTTTTTGAAAATAGATAGTAATATGATAAATACTATAATAATAATAAGTATTCGGATATCCGTCATCCAGTTAAAATTTTGTTTTTATTTTTATTTTTTAAAAAAATTGATTAAAAAATTATCAATATTAATATTCTGTTGGCCATCTGTTATTAGAAATGCATACTTCAATCCTTCTTGGAATACTTTCAAGGCTATATAACATACCGTGAAATTTTTTTCGATCTTTGACTTTCAATGACACTTCTTAGTGTACCTTATAAAATTTTTGCAGTTTGATAGCATCATAAACTGCAGTATTTGGAATATTATGTGTCTTTGCATTTTTTCAAGAGAACTATTGCCTATTTTTAAAAAATCAAAATTTTTTTTGATCTATCAGTTTATTTTAATAACGAAACTTTTACACATGACAAGAACATAAAGTTTTACTCGTTTATTTATGAGAACCTAAGCTACAAACTATCAAATTTTTATTAAAATTATTAGAAAATCACAAAAATAATCCTCGCGATTTATTTGGTGTTCTTTTTTTTAACTAAAAACCATAAAAGAATGATAGAAAAATGAGATTTTATATAGAGTCGTCAAAACTTGAGCCATATAATGATATAAATTTTACATACTTTTGTTATGTAGCATTTTTACATAACTATTAAAAAACCTTGTTCGAATACTTTTTGAGGGTAGTGTATATTAGCGAAAATTATTATTTGCGACTCGGACGCGTTCACACTATCTTTTGATTGAAACCATATTTACATGTAATCAAAATGTGGTCATTATAATCCTAGTAACATCAACATCGTTTGTCAATTTATTATACAAATTTGAGAAAAACTGCTATGCTTGACAACGGAATTGAATAAATTATATCTAGAAATGTATTTTAGTAAAATATCTATTGATGTTGTTTTGTAATTAGCATCAATGATGCGCTTTACAATTGCGTGAGGATATTATCAGGATTTCAGCAAATGACTAGTTTTATATGTGCAGAACATTGTTTTTTTTTTCATTATCATAAATCAACCAATTAACTATTTAAATGATTTATTTGAAAATTTCATTATATTGGATATCTTCTTTCATCAAAAATATTAATCACTTTGTTTGTATCAATTAAAATTTTTAATGGCATTAATATTAAGCATTTATAACTTGCGTAACTTTATTATCTAGATAAAATAATAATAATAATAAGCATGAAAAGAAAAGTTTTACCGGACTTTTTAAATTTTACAAGTATACAAAAAAAAAATAATGGTCCTTATTAATTTAGAAATGATTGTTTGTTGATATTTTTAATTTCTGGCAAAAAAATTATATTTCGTTATTATGGAATTGCATGACAGTATTAAGTTCGAACCTGCTAGCGAGGATATACGTTTAGTTGTCGGCGTAGGTGAGCATATAAACAAAAGATCTTCTACATAAAATTTTTCTAATGAGACATTGTTTTTTTTTATGACACTTTAAATTCAGATTTTGGCACTACATTTTCGGTAAACTTATTCTTAATCGCTACATGCTATTTTATTCGCCATTAATTAACTGACATATTGCCTTTATTAGGGGTTTTCTTACGCTTACATTAAACCAGAGAAGGCGAAAATAGAAATTGTTGTGAATCAAGAGTGGGGCCATTTCAAAAGTCCTGATAAAACCAACACAGTATTACAATACGATGAAAACTATAAAGAAGTTGTCACTTGGGGAGCTAATGCATTAAGCTCTGAGCCTAGTAGAAGAAAAAGACATAGCAATGAATCTTTACCAAGACCAGTGGAATATTTCAAATTTTATTTGGGAAATGTTCCAGAAAGCAAAAAACCCGACCTACCTCCTGGAATTACTTTTGATAAAGCAATAACAGATTATCTTCGTGAAATGGGTAACCAATCACGTTTTATTTAATAATCAGATACATATTATAAAAAATTGTTTTCAAAATTAATTATATATGAAATCATTTATTTAGGAAAGGTATGTATTCCCATTTTATATGTTATGAAGGCATTATTATATAATGATAGTTTAGTTTGTATTTGAATTTTTTTATATGATATGGTAGACAATCAAAGAGAATGTAAAAAAACACTGGTATGGAATTGATTTTTACAACCATGTACGACTTGTTTTCACAGTACCTGCTGGTAACTAGTTATTATATCTATAAATACACACATATATACAAATATACTAACTATTTTAAAATTATCATTTCAGAATTTACTGAAGATACCAAGACAATTATGAGAAAATGTATATACAATGCTGGCCTGATTAAATCTATAGGCACACTAAATCTTCAATTTACCACTGAACGTAAGAAAGCATTTTCAAGCACTACATGTGCCATTATCCATGATTGATTTTCATCTAATATACTTGGTCTAAATTTTAGCGGAAGCTGCTGCAATTCATTGTACAAATACATTAAAAGATCTCAAATTAATAATAGGAGGTATATATAATAATGCTTTTTGGCTCATTTTATTTACCTTATAATTTTTTAATACATTATTCCTATATGACTTAACTTAGCAACATACTTGGTTGTTGATTGTGGTGGAGGAACTGTGGACTTAACACTTAGAAAATTATTACCAGATGAACAAATAGCAGAAATGACTGAACGTTCAGGAGATTATTGTGGAGGTACCTATGTTGATGATGAGTTCTTAAAATTTCTTGAAAGTAGAGTAGGTAAATCTGCAATGGACATGTTAAAGGAGAAACACTACGGTCAGGTTAATTATTTAATACATAAATATTTTTGTCCTGATATTAAAATTCCATTCACTGGTGAAAAATCCAAATTCAAAACCATTGAATTGGACATTGAGAAAAAATGTCCAGCACTTAAGCAATATGTCACTGGGTCAGAAAGAGATCAATTATCAGATGAGGATGAATGGGTCATTGATATTGATTTTGATACTGTGAAATCATTTTTTGATCCAGTAATCAACAAAATTTTGAAGTTGATTGAGACACAGTTGTCAAAATGTCCAGACTGTTCAGTGATGTTTTTGGTTGGAGGATTCAGTGAATCAAATTATCTTCAATCTAGAATTAAACAAAAATTTGAAGATAAATTGAAAATAGCAAGTATGTTGGTTGGCTGTCCCTTATTATTTTTTTTAAAGAAAAAATAAAAAAGAAAAGTTAAAGCAATTAATTAATAAATATTTTGTTTATAGTTCCACCCAATCCAATTACTGCAATTGTAAAGGGTGCATGTGAATATGGACTTAATATGAAGATTGTAAGCACAAGAGTATTATTATGGTCATATGGAGTTAAAGTTAGTAATGAATGGGTAAGCATCAACAACATAAATTATCTAAAAAGCAAAATATTATATTATTCAAAATAATAAAACTATCTTGTTTTAATATTAGCAAGCTGATGATCCACCATCTCGTAAAACAGCAGAAGGTCGGATTCATAAGTTTGGTTTGATGGCCAGAAAAGGAACAAAGTTGGTCGTGGACAAACCATTTTCCAAGACATTAGTTCCATGTCATCCAGATCAAACTGGTGGAACACTTAAACTTTTTTATACCACCAAATATGATGCAACATATTGTGATGAACCTGAGATGATCGAATTTGGTAGTTTCAATTTTGATTGGCCTGACACTCATTTAGGACTGAATCGTTCTGTACTAGTAACATTACGTTTTGGATCTATGGAAATCGTTGCAACAGTGAAGAATGAAATTAGTGGTAAAGTTCATCATGCAACTTTTAAATATATTAAATAATTATATTATTCCATGTCTGATAAAAAATAGTTGATATAATGCTGTATTAAAGATTGCTCTTTATTATTATTTAATAGTACATGTATCTTTGTATTTAAAATATATTCCTATTTTTGTATTTATATAAAGAATTCAATTTGAACATAGAAATTTGATTCTTAAATAATGGAAAGATCAGAAAATACGTGTTAACACATGTTTATACAATTGGATGTCCTTATTATTACATCACTCTTATTCGTGCATATTCTGAACTAATTAATTGGATAAAGAAATATTTTTCCAAAGCCGGAATAAATAAATAATGTCTATAATTTATCATTTTTTCCAAGTCTTATCGTAATTTTGAGTTAATAACACCTCCACATGTAATTTGTCATAAAGATTAAAAACCATGC